CATCTATATCCTCTGTCCTTTGTTGTCCATCACTATTTATATGTTTACATCTATATCCTGTCCTTTGTTGTCCATCACTATATATATGTGTACATCTATATCCTCTGTCCTTTATTGTCCATCACTATTTATATGTTTACATCTATATCCTCTGTCCTTTGTTGTCCATCACTATTTATATGTTTACATCTATATCCTCTGTCCTTTGTTGTCCATCACTATTTATATGTTTACATCTATATCCGCTGTCCTTTATTGTCCATCACTATATATATGTTTACATCTATATCCTCTGTCCTTTATTGTCCATCACTATTTATATGTTTACATCTATATCCTCTGTCCTTTGTTGTCCATCACTATATATATGTTTACATCTATATCCTCTGTCCTTTGTTGTCCATCACTATATATATTTGTACATCTATATCCTCTGTCCTTTGTTGTCCATCACTATATATATGTTTACATCTATATCCTCTGTCCTTTGTTGTCCATCACTATATATATGTTTACATCTATATCCTCTGTCCTTTGTTGTCCATCACTATATATATTTGTACATCTATATCCTCTGTCCTTTGTTGTCCATCACTATATATATGTTTACATCTATATCCTCTGTCCTTTGTTGTCCATCACTATATATATGTGTACATCTATATCCTCTGTCCTTTGTTGTCCATCACTCTATGTATGTTTACATCTATATCCTCTGTCCTTTGTTGTCCATCACTATATATATGTTTACATCTATATCCTCTGTCCTTTATTGTCCATCACTATTTATATGTTTACATCTATATCCTCTGTCCTTTGTTGTCCATCACTATATATATGTGTACATCTATATCCTCTGTCCTTTGTTGTCCATCACTATATATATGTGTACATCTATATCCTCTGTCCTTTATTGTCCATCACTATATATATGTGTACATCTATATCCTCTGTCCTTTATTGTCCATCACTATATATATGTGTAATCTATATCCTCTGTCCTTTATTGTCCATCACTATATATATGTGTAACCTATATCCTTAGTCATTTGTTGTCCATTACATATATGTGTACATCTATATCCTCTGTCCTTTTTTGTCCATCACTATACATATGGGTAATCTATATCCTCTGTCCTTTGTTGTCCATCAATATATATGTTTACATCTATATCCTCAGTCATTAGTTGTCCATCACTATATATATGTGTAATCTATATCCTGTCCTTTGTTGTCCATCACTATATATATGTTTACATCTATATCCTCTGTCCTTTATTGTCCATCACTATATATATGTTTACATCTATATCCTCTGTCCTTTATTGTCCATCACTATTTATATGTTTACATCTATATCCTCTGTCCTTTGTTGTCCATCACTATATATATGTTTACATCTATATCCTCTGTCCTTTGTTGTCCATCACTATATATATGTTTACATCTATATCCTCTGTCCTTTATTGTCCATCACTATATATATGTTTACATCTATATCCTCTGTCCTTTATTGTCCATCACTATATATATGTTTACATCTATATCCTCTGTTCTTTATTGTCCATCACTATATATATGTTTACATCTATATCCTCTGTCCTTTATTGTCCATCACTATATATATGTTTACATCTTTATCCTCTGTCCTTTGTTGTCCATCACTATATATATGTGTACATCTATATCCTCTGTCCTTTATTGTCCATCACTATTTATATGTTTACATCTATATCCTCTGTCCTTTGTTGTCCATCACTATATATATGTTTACATCTATATCCTCTGTCCTTTGTTGTCCATCACTATATATATTTGTACATCTATATCCTCTGTCCTTTATTGTCCATCACTATTTATATGTTTACATCTATATCCTCTGTCCTTTGTTGTCCATCACTATATATATGTGTACATCTATATCCTCTGTCCTTTATTGTCCATCACTATTTATATGTTTACATCTATATCCTCTGTCCTTTGTTGTCCATCACTATTTATATGTTTACATCTATATCCTCTGTCCTTTGTTGTCCATCACTATATATATGTGTACATCTATATCCTCTGTCCTTTATTGTCCATCACTATTTATATGTTTACATCTATATCCTCTGTCCTTTGTTGTCCATCACTATTTATATGTTTACATCTATATCCTCTGTCCTTTGTTGTCCATCACTATTTATATGTTTACATCTATATCCTCTGTCCTTTATTGTCCATCACTATTTATATGTTTACATCTATATCCTCTGTCCTTTGTTGTCAATCACTATATATATGTTTACATCTATATCCTCTGTCCTTTGTTGTCCATCACTATATATATTTGTACATCTATATCCTCTGTCCTTTGTTGTCCATCACTATATATATGTTTACATCTATATCCTCTGTCCTTTGTTGTCCATCACTATATATATGTTTACATCTATATCCTCTGTCCTTTGTTGTCCATCACTATATATATTTGTACATCTATATCCTCTGTCCTTTGTTGTCCATCACTATATATATGTTTACATCTATATCCTCTGTCCTTTGTTGTCCATCACTATATATATGTGTACATCTATATCCTCTGTCCTTTGTTGTCCATCACTCTATGTATGTTTACATCTATATCCTCTGTCCTTTGTTGTCCATCACTATATATATGTTTACATCTATATCCTCTGTCCTTTATTGTCCATCACTATTTATATGTTTACATCTATATCCTCTGTCCTTTGTTGTCCATCACTATATATATGTGTACATCTATATCCTCTGTCCTTTGTTGTCCATCACTATATATATGTGTACATCTATATCCTCTGTCCTTTATTGTCCATCACTATATATATGTGTACATCTATATCCTCTGTCCTTTATTGTCCATCACTATATATATGTGTAATCTATATCCTCTGTCCTTTATTGTCCATCACTATATATATGTGTAATCTATATCCTCTGTCCTTTATTGTCCATCACTATATATATGTGTAATCTATATCCTCTGTCCTTTATTGTCCATCACTATATATATGTGTAATCTATATCCTCTGTCCTTTATTGTCCATCACTATATATATGTGTAATCTATATCCTCTGTCCTTTATTGTCCATCACTATATATATGTGTAATCTATATCCTCTGTCCTTTATTGTCCATCACTATATATGTGTGTACATCTATACTGACAGTCAGTACGGTATTTCGACTGCACATGTCTGTACAGCCGCGAGTAGGATACACATGCTTGCTGGACTTGTAGTAGAGTTGGAATCCCCGCTTGAATATGTCTCTTATTAATTCCATCTATTTATTTAGTTACCGACTAAAGCAGCTTAAACTCATATTATTCTCCGTCGTATTCTTAGTTAATTTTCCCCTCGATATCCCCACCATGATATTGCTGCAATATCGCCAAAAGTGGCGTAAAATTATACTCACTCACTCACTCGATATCCACGTTGACAGTTTATTAACTTGCTATCACAAACTTCGCCCTCATTTTCAAAAATATTTCCGCAAATACATTGTAATTAATCAGTTGTTTAATAGTAGAGTGGTATATCTAGAGTGTCTTTTATGTGAATATGTATATTATTTTTTTGCACGCCGGGTATTACTTATATCGTCAAAAACAACCTGATCCTCTGACATAGCAACACATGACCCTGTTTACTGCTAGACAGCATTAGACAACCGCAGGCCAAATGTCAAAGCAAATTTGAAACAAGTCATTCAAACAACACTTTACTGGTCTGCTGGTTTCATTATCTGGTTCAGTCTAGCAATAAAGGATTACCCATTCCACATAGTGACAATGTCTCAGTTCCACACATGGCACTAATTACAACGTCTAGACCTTCATTGGTAATGGACATCAGACTGTGGAACGAATTTCCCTTTCCCAGATGGACGTGAGAAGGTACAATTGTAGATTTTACAGAGTGCTTTGGAAAAACTATCCATATACTTATCTTTCTTCTTGTTCAGGGGGCACGGGTGGCCCAGTCGTCTAAGGCGCCGCGATTCGCTGTGCAGAGTTGCGTCCCTTGGGTACGCCAGAAACCTATGACTGTGGGTTCGAATCCCGGTTCGCCCAATTATGTTTCTGGGTTTGTCAGCACCATACCCGTGCTCGTGGGTTTCACCGAAGTGGTAAACGTCTGAGACCTGCATCACTTCGGGCTTTCCTCCCAAATTAAGCTGACACGCCGCGATATAACTGGAATACTGTTAAAAGCGGCGTTAAACCCAACTCACTCTTCTTGTTTAGGTGATAAGCATAGTCCGATACAAGCGGAATGTTGATGTGAGGCCTTAGTGTTGATAATAATTCTGTGTCAGCTATAAAGTTTATAGTTTCACGCAATATGTTTGAGTAAGTGGAGGATACGTTAACGGGGTGTCACTGTATGTGACTACAATTCTCTTCTTTTGGTTGAGAAACACTACAGAAAATGGCCATTCTATAAAGTTTGTGTGGTGAAGTCATTCATTACCAATGAAGTCCCATGAGTGAGGACAATTAATTCCAAAGCTGGGTTGTTATGAGATCGATACAGAGGCAATTACTATATGTTCTTACACAAAACAAAGTATAGGCAATGAATTGAATATCTGACTAGGAATATCCAATTATTCGCCCCTTGACATAACGTTAATGTCTTTCAGGATAGATCATCCCTATTTCCTTCTTACTCGTTACATATGTAAATACCAAGAAGTGGTCTTTGAATTTCTTTTGTATTATATCATGCTCTACAAGAATGTAATGGTTCTTTTTACATCCCCATGTCAAAATGCATTGATGTATCGACGCAGGAGACAACTGAAACATTTCAGACTATTCATTTGATGAAGTTCAACCCTTTCTGAAAACGCGTATTCAAGCATAAAAGTTGACTCTGCGTCTTTATTGCATTCGTTCTTAAACGTTTCATGAAATTCAATACCATTTTTTTTTCTATACTGTGCTTATATCTCTGTTTCTCGTTTTCAGGAACAAGCCCTGACCAATGCATCAGCATTGACTACAACCAAAAGGGCTCAGGCCGAGGGGAGGGAGCCCAGACTAGCATGTCAATAGTAGGTCAGCCATTTATACAGCACAATCGGCACAGTGACCATTTCACTGGAAGAAATGTTACACCTTTACTTGTAAATACTTGTACATAATGTCTTTCAAGGGGAAAAAATGATGTAAAAATTACTTTTACAAGCATAAACACACATTTACATGAATTATGCCTGATACAAGTACGTAAAATATTGTCTGAAGATACACGCATGAACATAATGTAATGACTAAAATTACAACCTCGTAAACTTTGTGAAGGTGGTGTTTTCTTCAAGTGTGTGATTTACACACCGGTGGTAGACATCGTGTAGGTATGGTATATGATGTGTGTAGGAATTTAATAAGCGCTCGGCATAAGTGGGTACCTTGCCATGGATTTAAAATATTGGATGATAAAACGCATAGTTCCAACCTTGGGATGGAAGGGGGTGAGGTGAGGTGAAATGGTAAATTTAACGTGGCATCCCAGATTATTGCACTTATATAGCGATGTACATGCATGTGTGTGTATGTGGCTGCTTGTGCTTGTCGGGACTAATGCCGATTTTATAGAGCCAGCCCACTGAGATAACATGCCGAAGTTTAACATGAATACCCCGCTCAGACACAGTATACTGATTCCGAGCCGACCAGTCCTTGTTTTAGCCCCTTAATGCCGAGCGCCAGACAGGGTAACAACAAGTACAATCTTTTAACGTCTTTTGGTATGACGCGACGGGGGGTTGAACCCCGGACCTTCTGCTCTCCGGGCGGACGCTCTACCACTAGACCACGGAGGCGGTCTGGGGCGAAAGGAAGGTCTGTACATATTCATATGTCTATTCAAAGGGACTTCCAACTGTTCCTTTGATTCAGACATACATTTTAAGCCTGTCAACCCGTACGATATCACTAGGAACACTGCCGTGTAGATTAAGGAGTTTTCACTGTACAGAAACAAATAGTATTTTTTCAACGGTCTATCTCAATGGTAAAGGAGTCATACACAGTCAGGCTTAAAAACCATGACTGTCTCCAGGACACGACATCATTCAGTGAGGTTTTTGGAATGATATGTGTGTCTTCAGTAAGCATTCCTTCATACTGATAATGAAATGAAGTTCTTGAGATAAACTATAATATCGAGTAAATATACCACGGTAAAAATAACACCGACAAAATATTCATTTGGAATTTTCATTTCATATCAACAAAACCTATTTCTGTCAGTTTTATTGCTCCATTCTGGCTGATATTGATGATATTGAATTAACTTAAGCCATAACATTACGCTATCTCAGCCTTGTTCATTTGATCTCTCCAAAAGTTTTACATAAAAATGTAGTTCTGTAGTGAGCTATGTACAGCTTCCCGAGTTCCAGGGTGATATGTCCTTTTATATCGGATGAAAAACGAATCGGCCTCAGCAAAATCTCTCTATTGTTTTGGTACAGTGTCATGTAAGGACTTGCGGCTTCATCTTTAATCTTGGTTTATGGTGAACACAGGCATGAAATAACACGCATAAAGGAAACGATTTGCAAGCAGAAAACGTTGGAGAATCAATCGAAGTCGAACTATCATATGATTCCATTATTACATTACGTGAGGACAGATGCTATATTTAGGTCGGCTTGGTCTGTTAGGGATTTCCTCGACCCGATGCACCAATAATTAGTGTCTGGAAGAGATAAAATACTTCATGTTTTACAGACAAAGGTCCATTGGTATTCAGAGCCATGGTTACCCTTGACAGGTGATAATACATGTATGTACGTACGGGCGATTCGAGGAGCCTTGTGGCGAAAGCTTTAGGTCGGTATGCTGCATCGTTCACACTTGTTTTTCGAACTATATGGCGCCACTAATCTTTTATTCTTGAAAGCTTTTCTTGGTCTTAAAAAAGGGAAATATCTTCGAGGTAATTTCCCGACTCTGCTTTCGTTTCCTAACTGTCATATATTAGGAATGCAAAAATATCTAATACGAGCCTTTGCAACATGGAAACCCACGATGTTATCATATTAAGTCATTGTTACAGTAATGTAAAGCTGAGTAATGTTTTCATTTTTTTCATTCACTGAAAAAGCCGCCCAGTATATAACATAATGCCAAATGAATTGCTGCCATGTTTGTTTCCATAAGCACCAACGCAGTGTAAAACATAATATCTAAGTAAACTGCCCAATATTAAATATGTTGCCAAATGCGCTGCAGTCATGTTTGCACTTACACATCGGAAAAATCTCTATCTAAACGTTTTTGGACCAATTGGTGATATTTCTCCGAGCAAATAGGCAACAAATCGATATTTGGCGCTTATTAATAGTAGTTCCTGATTGGTGACCCTTTTTTGCATATGTGCGGGAACGTAACACACAGCTTTTGTTGTTTTATCGCATCGGTAATAGTAAGGTCCATGCTAACTTTTGTACACACGCGATTGCATACATTTTCATGAACTTTTAAGTGAACAATCAACTACTAACAGCCGCTGTGTTTCATAATAATGATAGCGTAATGTTTCGGCTTAGGTTAGTTCAATATCAGTCAGAATAGAGCAATGAAACTGACAGAAATAGGTTTTGTTGATATTAAATGTATATTCAACATGAAAATTATGTCGATGTTATTTTTACCGTGGTATATTTATTCAATATTATATTTTATCTCAAGAACTTCATTTTATTATCAGTATGAAGGAATGCTTACTGAAGACACTCATAGCATTGCAAAAACCTAACTGTATGACACCGTGTCCTGGAGCCAGTCATGATTTATAAGCATGAATATGAGACCGACTCTCATGTGACAGTTGGTGTCATGGTATTTTCATTCGTTATCATCTGGAAACCTGACCACTGCTTTATATTTACTACTGATCATTATCGACGACCAGTTAGGCTCCAAATCGAGTACCAGCGTGTTCATTTTCTCAACGTTTGTCAGTGATGTATATATACAAAGTTCAACACGAAACTCATTGACTTTGACTGAAATGTGTAACAGAAAATCAGTGTGAAAGGTTTCAGGTATGGTGAAAATCATTTTACTGCGGTAACTTTCTGTAGAGGAACAAATGATCAAAGTTGCATGTATAAAGTATACAATGCAAAAAAGGTAGGGGATAGTAGGAATCATTAAGACATCTTCGGATCTGTATGGTATTGACAAATGGAAATGATATGATCATATCTGCGTGGGAGTAGGCGAGCAGATCTAATGGTTTCTCGTGGTTCGAGTGATGATTTGGTGGCCCTCTAAGTCTTTAAGCAGGTCAGGGTTCCAAATCGAAATTTGCAGTTTGCAGCCAACGTCACTGACATCAGGTAAAACACCAGACGTGCACGGATACGAAGAGGCATGCTTCTGATGAGTCGACTAACGTCACCTTGACGCATATTGTTCCACTCATCATTTAGAGCAACACCGAGGTCATTGAGAGTGGTGGGTGGATTTTGACGTTGATGTACACGTCTGCCACTATCGTTGCAGGCATTGCGATACCACATACCATTATAGATCCGCCCCCAAAACGATCATGCTGTACGACGTTAACGTCCATGAGACGCTCATTAGAACGTCTCCAAACTCGACTGGAAGTCGAAAGTGAACGTCGATTCGTCAGAAAACAATATATTTGTCTAACGTCGATTTCCAAGTGCTGACGTTCCCTGCACCACTGACGCCTCTGATTCAAATGACGTGTAGTAAGTTGAGGAACGACACGTTGACGTCGTGCACGCAAATGCCAGACTTGCAGACGATTTCGCAGCGCCTGGGCATGTACTGTTACACCAGTTGCCTGTTGCAGCCGGTCCCTTATCTGAGTGGCCGTTTGCAACCGATTTCTTCATGCCATCGTTCTGACTAATCTGTCCTGGGCTGGAGTTGTTGCCCTTGGGAGTCCAGAGCGACGTCGATCATCGACGTTATGTGTTTGTTGGTATCGTGGCCACAATCTGCTGATGACAGATTGAGAAACATGAAGCGTTTGGGCAACAGTATTCTGACGTGTGTCCACCGGCAACATGCGAATGGCACATAACCGTTCCACGCATTTTAAATATGTTTAATAAAGTGGCTGTGGGCGTTTTGTTCAAAGAAAACAAAATGCGTCCGCTCACGACCAAGTCTGAGTGACAATGGTAACTAATTGTTTGCATATATATGTGGGTAGGTTGTCTCAGATCATGGATCAAAGGTATGAGGAATGGGCCTTCAGTGCATACTTGTTCTTCTTGGTGTTGATATACGCTACAGGTCAATACTGGCAAGTTGCACAATGGAAAAGATAGTTATCAGTCATCTAAATACTTCCGATAAACCCCCTACTGTCCTTTGTAAGGTTTATATGACAAAAAATATCTAAGCTGAAACGTAACCTTTACTTCCTTTCGTCTATAATTAGAGTATGACAAATATCTTGAAAACAAATAAACGAAGTGAAGGAAAAAGCGTTGACGCAGCTTTGATCCTCGAATTGCACTAGTGTTCTTCATTTGGAACCTCTCAATTGAAAAACTGGTGTCTTCAAAATGTACGCTGTTTCTTTTCGCTTGCGTTTAGTGCTACGAATGAAGAACATCCAAGCGGTTTCAGGTTACTGGTTAACATGGGGAGTAGAACAAAAACGACACGATGAGACTTGATGCACTAAAAGTTTAACTACTACCATTCCGCTTCCGCCTCAAAAGAATTAATCAAGCACATTAGCTGTCCCCGTAGGATCTATTCATAAAAAATGAAGCGAAGATCTGTTGAATGTGTAATAAAATGGAACATGTTCAAAGCTAACTACCTCAAATTTTAATTTCTTTGGTTAGCAAAGTGCGAATTTTATGTTAAGACAATTTAGTTTTCAATAGGTTTCCAGGGACCATGCAGATCGATATTAGGTAGCTGACTTCTGTTGCTTCCATACTTAGCCGTGCTTGTGCCTTGATGCAACGTGTCATATTTAGCGACCTGTGTTATAAATACAGCTAGGAAACTTCACCAGGATGGCAATACGATCGGGAGACATAATAAAG